GACTAAACCCCAGACAGGCCAGATGGGCCCTGTTCTTCACCCGATTCAACTTTTCAATCACCTATCATCCAGGATGAAAGAACATCAAAGCCGATTCGCTATCACGCCAATACGACGCCACCCCTCAAAATCCCTCTCCAGACCCCATTATCTCACCTTCTTTAATACTAGCTCCAGTTCAGTGGGACATCATGACCGAAATCACTCAGGCTCACGCACGGAACCCACCACCTCCAGAATGCCCGCTCAACCGAACCTTTGTTCCCCTAGGACTACGAGAAAAGGTAATCCACTGGGTGCATTCATCCACAAGCTCTGGCCACCCAGGCATCACTACCACAGTTAGATTATTGAGAAACGGGTTCTGGTGGGAGACTTTACAGACAGACACTAGCACGTTCGTGAATTCTTGTTACATCTGTGCTGCAGCAAAGCCCTCCAGACAACTACCAACAGGACTACTACAACCCCTACCCATCCCACAACGACCATGGTCCCACATCGCTATTGACTTTGTCACCGATCTGCCAGTCTCGCAGGGTAACACAACCATACTAACTGTCATTGATCGTTTCTCCAAGGCATGTCGACTGATACCACTATCTAAGCTTCCATCAGCATTCGAAACTGCAGAACACCTCTTCCACTTTGTATTCCGCTATTATGGTCTTCCCGAAGACATTGTCTCTGACAGAGGTCCTCAGTTCACATCAAGATTTTGGAAGGCCTTCTTTCAATTACTGAAGGTCAATGTAAGTCTCACTTCAGGTTACCACCCTCAATCTAATGGACAAACGGAACGACTAAACCAAGAGATCACTAAATTCCTCAGAATGTATTGTCAGCAGAACCAATCCGACTGGAGCCGCTTTCTTCCCTGGGCAGAATACGCACAGAACTCAATTCTCAAACCCTCCACAAGATTAACACCCTTTCAATGCATTCTGGGGTTCCAACCTCCACTGTTCCCATGGTCTGGTGAGCCGTCCGAAGTACCTGCTGTGAACGACTGGTTTCAACGAAGTGAGGCTGTTTGGAACCAGGCACATGTCCACCTACAACGGTCCATAAACAGGGATAAAGAACAAGCTGACCACCATCGTCGCCCCAGTCCCAACTACTCTCCTGGACAGTGGGTGTGGCTTTCAACTCGAGACCTCCGTCTGCGATTACCCTGCAAGAAACTCAGTCCCAGGTATGTGGGTCCTTTCAAAATTTTGAGACAAATCAATTCTGTGTCATACCACCTCGAATTACCAGCCACTTATCGCATTTCTCCTACTTTCTATGTTACTTTCCGTGTTATTTGGATCTAATTGCGGTTTCTTAATGAGCGGTTTTATTACTGCCAGCTTGAATATTTTTGGAACATGACCTAAAGATAAAGACGAGTTAATAATATTGAGGAGAGGCTCTTCCACTACAGGTAATAGTTCTTTCAGTAGTTTAGTGGGTATTGGATCTAATAAACATGTTGTTGGTTTAGATGCAATGATAAGTTTATTTAGCTCTTCCTGTCCTATCGTTGTAAAGCGGTGTAGTTGTTCTAGATGGGCCATAATTGAAGCTGAATCATAAGACACCATAGAGGATTGTACATTTATAATTGTGTTTCGGATGCTTTCTATTTTCTCATTGAAGTAATTCATAAAATCATTACTACTAAACTGTAAAGGTATATTTTGCTCTGGTGATGTCTGTTTATTTGTTAGTCTAGCCACGGTGTTAAATAAAAACCTTGGATTATTTTGGTTATTTTCGATTAATTTGCGGAGATGCTCAGCCCTGGCTGTTTTTAGTGTCTTTTTATAACGTGACATACTGTCTTTCCACGCGATTCTAAAGACCTCTAAATTAGTTTGTTTCCATTTACGGTCTAAGTTGCGAGTTTCTCTCTTGATAGCATGTGTAGCACTGTTGTACGATGGTGCTTTAATTTTCTCTCTAACCTTTTTTAATCTAATTGGTGCAACAATATCTAATGTACTAGTGAAAATGGTGCTTAAACTGCTAGTCATTTCCTCTAATTCATCTGTTTGTTTGGGTTCACTTAGCAGCTTAGATCAGGTAAGCTATTTGAGAATCCATCTGGTTGGAAGGATTGTTCTGCCTGGTCTATAACGTGGCGCAACATGACATATTTCAGCAGTACGTATTATACAAGTCACCATGTAATGATCAGTGACATCATCGCTTTGCGGTATAATATCTATATCAGTTGGAATGGTTCCATATGATATAATTAAATCTAGTGTATGATTTAGACGATGAGTGGGACCACTGACGTTTTGTTTGACCCCAAAGGAGTTCAATAAGTCTGTAAACGCAGCCCCTAAAGCATCATTTGTATTATCTACGTGTATGTTAAAATCTCCAGCAATTATTGCTTTATTGACATTCACCAATAGATCCGAGAGAAAGCTTAGACTCCGATTGAGATCAGTCAGTCAAGTCATTAAATGATGATCATCATCAATAGGCATGTGCCGGTATCAAATTTTCATGCTGTGGTTAATTGATGAGCTTTTATCACGGTATACGGTATTATCACGATATTTTAATGAAATTATATTTTAATGCTCAAGAAATGCATTGCAACAGATGCATTGTGGGTCTCTAAAAAAACCTCAAATTGTATCACAATGTGTAATTGTGATTTTCGAAACATATGGTAACTAAACCAAATTGTTTAAAGTTTAGTGACAACATGTTACAATGACTGGTAGGTTACTGTTTGTATTATTTAATTAAATTCTTGGATTTGATTTCAGTCTTAATTCAATATTGACTCATTTGGATAAATATTAGGTAGGCCCCAGTCTGTTAATGTTTCTCAAGAAAAAAAAAACCTCACATAATGCTGTAAACATCCCAGCAGGCACCGGACGTCAGTTCAACATCATTTTGACGTTGGACTCCAACGTTGGACAGACGTTTGATTTTAGTTGGATATGAAAATCGGGTTGACGGCAAAACCCAACGTTATATTGACATCAACCTACAACGTTAGACAGACGTTTGATTTTAGTTGGATATGGAAATCGTGTTAACGTCAAAACCCAACGTTTGGTTGACATCAACCTACAACGTTAGACAGACGTTTGATTTTAGTTGGATATGAAAATCGGGTTGATGGCAAAACCCAACGTTATATTGACATCAACCTACAATCCCTGCAAACAAGCCTGGACTGGCCCTGTCCGGGCCCACTTAGGGCTAGCCTAAGGGCCCCCTGCAGGCTGCTAGCGCAGGGCCCATGAGAATTTGCTCATTGGCAAAACGTTGGGCCTGCATGGGCAGCCCTCACTTAGCCCTCACTAAACCCACACAGGGCCCGCACACTGGGCCCACAAAACGTTGGCCCTGCATGGGCAGCCCTCACTTAGCCCCAAGGAATCCCTCACTAAGCCCACACAGGGCCCGCACCGCACACACAGGGCATCTACAACAATAGATCTAGTTCACAATTAATCTGTTTCACTATAAATACTTTTTGGCTAATATAACTATAAGTCTTTGGGAAAAACAATTATTCTATACATCTGAATGCAGTCACCACATAACTAATTTCTGTATTTTCACAAATGTACAGAAGTCAAAGGGATTTCAAATCAATGTATTTATTAATTACAAAACATAAAACATTAAATTTAGGTTATTATATATAATATAATTACACTATTATATATTCACATAAAAAACAGAAACATAGAAAACAGCTGTTTTACATTATGATAAAATTTCACAATATTACTGTTTTTTTTTTAAATAAATGCAAATAAATGCAAGCTTGATAAGCAGAATAGACTTCTTCCAAAATGTTTCCAAATTTTTTACCTGTATACTGTATATGATTTTATACAAAATAAATAGTAGTTAATAAGATTGACACTGTATTATATCTAGTAATATTGAAGCTAAACAGAGTCCCTATAACAGTGCAATTTGTAGATTTTTAGTCTTCGAGAAAATGTTTTATGAGTTGCAAACCTCTTTTTCTTTGCTTTCTTTCTCTCTCTCACAAACACAACACATCAGTTACACAAAACATCAGTTAAATTCTTCATTGCAGGTGCACAAATCCTATTCTAAAAATTACCAAACTCATAGGGTCATATTTTTGTTGATAAACAGTAACATTTTGGCCAATTATGCACATTTCTTGGTGTATAATTTTGTGAATCATCTATACTGTTTGGCTATTCTCATGTGGTCACACTTCACTTTTCAATTTCACAGTCACATATGCTCAAACCCCGTGTGGCCGTGCCTTAAATGTCTGCATACATTTCTTACAGGGCTGTGCAAAAGTTAATTGCGATTAATTGCATTCAAAATAAAAGTCTGTGTTTACATAATATATTTGTGTGTGCTGTATATAATTATTTTGTATTAGGGCTGTGAAACGATTAATCGCGGTTAATCACATCCAAAATAAAAGTTTGTGTTCACATAAATTATATACGTTTGTGTAGTGTGTATAATTATTTTGTATATATAAATACACACACATGCATGTATATATTTAAGAAATATTTGCATGTTTGTACTGTATATATGTTTATACAAAATTAATATTATACATAAATATAAATCTTTGATATATCAATAACACATTTTTCTTAAATATATACATGGATATGTGTGTATTTATATATACAAAATAATTATACAGACATATATCATGTAAACACAAACTTTTATTTTTGATGCAATTAATCGTTACACAGCCCTATATTGTATATATAAATACACACACATGCATGTATATATTTAAGAAAATGTGTTATTCATATATAAAATATTTATATTTATATAATATAGATTATGTATTCATATATATATATATATATATATATATATATACATGCATGCATAGGTATTTATATATACAAAATAATTATATACAGCACACACAAATATATTATGTAAACACAGACTTTTATTTTGGATGCGATTAATTGCAATTAATTTTTGCACAGCCCTTTTTGTGATTTGAAAAAAAGAAAATTATTTGTACACCTCCAATGAAGAATTTGAAAAGCTGTAACTGCAGTGTTTTTTGTGAAAGAGAAAAAAGTTTGAAACTTAAAAAAAAAAAAACGTTCTCTCTGTGACTACTTTACACCTGACTACTTTTAACTGACTACGTTACACCTACAGATTCCACTGTCACAGGTGCTCTGTTTTGCTATAATGAAACCTTTACAGAACATGATAGTAATCCGCCATCCATGTAAAAGCAGAGGTCGGTGTGGTGTACAGGTACATCTGTCCAGCCAACATCTCACGCCTTGATGCCTTCCACTGTGGATCCCAGAAAACCTGCAAAAAAAAAAAAAAAAAAAATACAGTTCAAAATCTATCATACATAATCATACATCTGGTATCACAAATTATTCCAGGTTATTATAACAATTCCAGGTTCAATCAGGTAATGCTCAATATTAGAGCTGCACAATACTAAAAACCTTAAATAAAATATTTTGTTTATCTGCTGCTATATATATTGCGATATAAAAAAAAATTTCAAGAGATTATTGAGTGAATCTGCATTGAAAATTATAACAAATTACAAGTATTGATAAATTCAATAGAAGAAAAATACAATTGAAATAAGCAGTGCATGAAGTTTTTTCGGAAAATCTAACTTATCAGGTACGGAAATTGAATTATCTAATGTAAAATAAGTCTTCACTGAGGTACAGCCTCTCTCTACTCTTACAAAATGACAAACAACCAGCCTGAAAAACACATGACAATGACACAAGATAATGTCTATAATAAATAGTGTGTGTGTAATTTCTTCAGTACCGTCAGCAGAACTGATAACATCTGAGCTTATCGATACTGCAGTCTTCCTTAATTTGGCCCCAGGGCCCGTTTAATGTTTAATACCGGGTTTCGGAACCTATTCCTACATATGGGTGAGTTCATATGGATGAAGGCCTGTTATGTTTGGCCTCTTGGTTTGTGATGGTGATATAGCTATTGTGAAACTCACCTTCGTCATGTACTGGGTATGGATGGCATCAAGATCTTGTCCTGAAGAATCACAGGATCAAATGATATCTCATCTGGTAACAAGAGCACAGCCATAACCCCCTGAATTCAGCATTTGAAAGTAAAAAGAATTTCAGTATTTATCAGTCAAACATACATAAAAAAATAGCTTTGAGTTGGACAGTATGGTGTCTCATTGGCCAACATAATTAAAAACACACCCAGAGAAAAAATAAAATAAAAAAATATATATATATATATATATATATATATATATATATATATATATATATATATATATATACTATATATATATATATATATATATATATATATATATATATATATATACCCATGACTATTATCCTGAATTATTATAACTATGACTATTATAACATTATATTTGCCACCTATTATTTAGCTTCTCAAGTACAATGTCACTGAAAAAAACTGTAGTTAATGAATTTAAAGTGAGAGACTTCATTCAAAATCATAAATCCTACAGACCCACAACAATTAAACAGTATGTATGAAGTTTTGCTTACTATAGTCGAGGTCATAGCCGTGGAGATTGTCTTGGACCCCAGGGGGTGCAGCAGGACATCTATGATGATCTTCAAGAAAATAACATGCAATGTGTCACAGAGCCAACAATATTACATTGAATTTACAATAGAACAAAGGGTTTAATACAAGGAAGCAAGCTAGAGCATAGCTAAAGAATATACATAAAAAATCTTAAGGTAATATATTGTGCAATAATGCATATGAAATAATTATCATGATTAAACAATAATTCCCCTTTGTTGTGTTTTTTTCCTGTTCCTTCTGAAATCACTTATTACCAATATTTGTAAATGACGTCATTAAGTACGTTACAATGAATTCTTTCAAGGTTAAATAAATTAACTTAGCTAACTTCCAATCACCCATTGACAAATTACCAGCAAAACAAAACTATCAAAAACTGTTATCAACACAAAAATGTGGTTAAAAACCCACACTTATGTAAAACAAGAGCTCAATTGTAACGTAAACAACTTAACGTTAACGTTAGCTCTTCTGAAAACGGTTCAGTCAGATGCTAACGGACTTTATCGAAGACACAAAACTATTTCTATAAAGCAAATATTCAACAGAAGTGTATCAATTACACGTAAGACATATATCAGGAAGGTTTGTATGTATTATTTGTGTGATTTTGGTAACTAGACTTACCTGAAAGCAGAGAAAACAACAGTGAGAGACGCTAGTTTGCTGTTTGTCAGTTGATGGGTTTCCTCGTTTCCATGGTTTCCATCTGCTCGCGCGCTCCTGTCTTTGAATCAGATTTGAATGCGACTCGCGCACGTACGCCCATAGAACACGTCAAAAGGCACGCAGCATTTAAATAAACATCTAGAATTATAACATTTAACAATTTAAAATATAATTAATTTTATATAATGAATTTAAACTCATTGTGTAGTTCTATGACCCATTCAGTTGACAATTATGCTTTTTAATACCATTTTGCTTTTACTTTTATTGTAAAGCAATTTCATGACATCTGTATTATATAAAGGCCTACATGTAATATAAAGAGCAACGTGTAATATAAATATGTAACATAAAGTGTGGAATGAAACTGCAACAGGCCCGTAATTTCATTACCATCTTTATATAAAGAGTGCTTTCTTATTCTCTTATATATATATATATCTTAAAAAAAAATAAAACATTTTTAAACAATTTAAATATATATATATATATATATATATATATATATATATTTAAATTGTTTAAATTTTTTTTAAGAGAATTAAAATTACCAAGTTATTAGTGCTTTCTTATTCTCTTTATATATATATATATATATATATATTATTAGTGCTTTCTTATTCTCTTAATATATATATATATATATATATATTATTATTTTATTTTTTTAATTTTTAAGAGAATTAAAATTACCAAGTTATTATGATTAGAGGACGTACTGACGACATTGTGGGCATGTGGGCAAATCTAAATGTGGGCTACCTAAACTAAACCCGCATGGGCCCAAAGGTGCAAAACCTGCTCATGGGCCCGAATGGGATGGCCCACAGTGGGCCATCATGGGCTTAATGTGGGCAGCCCGCTAGTGTGGGCTGCTCACTGATAGTCCGCAGTGAGCCCAAAGCTGTGGGCCTCGTCTGGGCAACCCGCACTGGGCCTGTTTAGGTTTGGCGTGGGCTGGCCCTAGCCCACTGTGCCCACAAAAAGCCAGCGTCGGCCCCGCAGGGGCATGTTTGCAGGGATGTTAGACAGACGTTTGATTTTAGTTGGATATGGAAATCGTGTTAACGTCAAAACACAACGTTTGGTTGACATCAACCTACAACGTTAGACAGACGTTTGATTTTAGTTGGATATGAAAATCGGGTTGACGGCAAAACCCAACGTTATATTGACATCAACCTACAACGTTAGACAGACGTTTGATTTTAGTTGGATATGGAAATCGTGTTAACGTCAAAACCCAACGTTTGGTTGACATCAACCTACAACGTTAGACAGACGTTTGATTTTAGTTGGATATGAAAATCGGGTTGACGGCAAAACCCAACGTTATATTGACATCAACCTACAACGTTAGACAGACGTTTGATTTTAGTTGGATATGGAAATCGTGTTAACGTCAAAACACAACGTTTGGTTGACATCAACCTACAACGTTAGACAGACGTTTGATTTTAGTTGGATATGAAAATCGGGTTGACGGCAAAACCCAACGTTATATTGACATCAACCTACAACGTTAGACATACGTTTGATTTTAGTTGGATATGGAAATCGTGTTAACGTCAAAACCCAACGTTTGGTTGACATCAACCTACAACGTTAGACAGACGTTTGATTTTAGTTGGATATGAAAATCGGGTTGACGGCAAAACCCAACGTTATATTGACATCAACCTACAACGTTATATGAACGTTGGATTGTTGTTGGAAATGAAAATCATGTTAACGTCAAAACCCAACGTTTGGTTGACATCAACCTGCAACGTTAGACGGACGTTTGATTTTAGTTGGATATGAAAATCGGGTTGACGGCAAAACCCAACGTTATATTGACATCAACCTACAACGTTATATGGATGTTGGATTGTTGTTGGGAATGAAAATCGTGTTAACGGCAAAACCCAACGTTATATTGACATCAAACTACAATGTTATATGGACGTTGGATTGTTGTTGGGAATGAAAATCAAGTTAACGCCAAAACCCAACGTTTGGTTGACATCAACCTACAACGTTAGACAGACGTTGGATTGTTGTTGGAAATGAAATTCGTGTTAACGCCAAAACCCAACGTTAGATTGACATCAACCCCCAACGTTAGATGGATGTTGGATTGTTGTTGGAAATTAAAGTCGTATTGACATCAACTTTCAACGTTGAATTGACATCAACCTACAACGTTAGACAGATGTTAGATTTTAGTTGGAAATGAAAATCGTGTTAACGTCAAAACTTTACGTTTGATTGATAAACTACAACGTTAGATTGACGTTTGATTGTTGTTGGAAATGAAAAATGTGTTAACGTCAAAACCCAACATTAGATTGACATCAACCTCCAATGTTAGATGGACGTTGTATTTTAGTTGGAAATGAAAATTGTAGAGGTCAAAACCCAATGTTGGATTGACATCATCTTCCAAAGTTGGACAGATGTTAGATTTTAGTTGGGACTAAAAATCGTGTTGAAGTCAAACCCAACGTTGGATTGACATCAACCTCAAACATAGAACACATAGGATAGTCGGAAATGAAAATCGTGTTAATGTCAAATTCCAGCAAATAAATAAATAAATAATAATAATACATTCATTCATCAACAATACATTCATACTCAATAAGACATTCAATGAGTTAAGAAAATAACTTTATTGTAAAACTTGTGGTTTTTAAAGAATTTCCTTTTGCTCCTTGAAATGTATAGTATTTAATGCTAACATGCAGGCATGTTTGAAAAATGAAAGACAAACTAAATGAACAAAACTCAAATAACTGGCAGGCATGTTTGAACAATTAAAGATAAACTAAATGAACAAAACTCAAATAACTTGCAGGCATATTTGAAAAATGAAAGATAAACTAAATGAACAAAACTCAAATAAGTGTCTGGAACTCAGACCCCACTTGTAAAGTAAAAAAAAAAAAAATTAAACTTCAGAAACTTTTTTTCTGCCACCTCCTCCCACCCTGTCTGGGGCATATTTTAAACAGAAGGCGACAGCCGCTGCAATGTTTGCCTCCGTTTCACCAGTCGTCCTCTGGACACTCTCTGTAAGGAATATTTTAAAGCAGAACTAAGTAACTTTTTTTACCTTAACTGAACAGCTTTGGAGTCATTGTAATGTTAATATTACTGATTTCGTGTTGAATGGTGATCATCTCGCACCCCCCTGGTGCCTGTGAGCCGCAAAACCACCCTTGCAACTTTGGGCCGGCGGCTCGCCGGCCTCAGTGTTAGGAAGTATCGTGAGATTTCAGGTCTCGCGAGGTAACGAATTGCTTTACGGCACTATACGCGCACACGCATGCGTACACGCCCCCGGCCATCCAGGAGCCGGCTAGCTATAAGAAAAAGGTAACGCTAGATATTGAATTCTTCAAGTTTTCGTGATGGCTGATGTAAAAGAAGAAGAAGACAGCTCGGAAGTGTTTATCAGAGAAACAAAGAAGAGAAACGGACCGGCTTTTTCAGAATAGAGAGAACTGAAAGAAAGCGAAGCCTGCAAAACCGATGCTGACCTGGCCTTCTTGCTGTTGCACTTGTAAGTATCTTTATAATAAACTGTGTTTAATGTTTGTATTTCTTGTAATTGTGACCTCGGGAGTCGGGATGTTTGCTATTGTCTGTTTTTTTTTATTATTATTATATTATGCTCGCTGTCTGTTACCGGCTTACTAGTACGTTAGATACTGTAACTTAGATGTTAGAATTTTCATTAGCAAACAAACTTGCTTGTTTTCTGTAAGTAAGTGTTTTGTCCGTTCCTCTATCAGAGTTTATTTGTGTTTCTCAGATCGCCTATAAATCGATATGAAATTCTACAAATTATGCATTAGTTTAGCTTGTCGTCAGCCTCAGAATTAGTAACGTTATACTGTGCTGCTGACTTGATAATGCATAAACCGACACGAGAGCTGCTAGCTAATAATGCAACTTTTTTATATTTATTTACCCACATTTACACAAACAGAACTATAAGTAAACGAGAAATTGCATTGCAACTTCACACATGCAACTCCATCTGTGCTATTTTGACCTTGTCTATAAATGATATGTTGATAAAAGATTGATACATTTTCTTTTTCCTTTTTAGCTACAAGCGTTGGCAAGTGTTATCAACTCCGAGGCACCCCAGACCACCAGTACCACCGGTCTCAAGCTTCAATAATAAAATAAACAAACTTGTAATAAACAAATTAAACGTGTTTGACTTTCTTTGGTCAATCGTTACGATAGACAACTCGGATCACCAGAAAAATGATGAATGTAACGTAACATGTATTTTGATAATGCATAATCAAAGTAGCTATAGCTGTAGGCTAAACTAAAAATAAATAAATAGCGGAAATATTTCTTATAGTATTATTGATTTTTAACCATAATGTTACTGATAACGTTTGGTAACACAATAAAAATATACACTATCTCAACATTTGAATAATATTGTTCTGAGAATCATACCTCAGTGGACATGGCTCGGGCGTCAGTTTGGTTTGAAATGTGCTGGGGACAGAGACGCATTTGGAAGGGCATTTTCAAAAGTGCTGGGTAACGCATTCATTCTTTTTTCTCTTTCGAGTAGGTAATATTTTGAACGACGATGTCCATAGCTTCCTGATGCACATAAATAAAAATGAGCACAATACAGTGATGGTCCGGCCAGAGGTTCCGCACTCGAATAGTTTTTATTTCCCCCTCATCAAAACCAATAATGTTTATCAGTGGTTGAATTGATATAATGTTTATCAGTGGTTTTATATGTTTTGATGAGTGGGGGAAAATATACGAGAGAGGAATTAGAAACCATGAGAAAAAGGGACACGTTTGTGTGCATTTTTATTTGTGATTTCACCGGAAAGAATCTCCGCAACGGATTGAAGCGCGTTTCTGAGAGAAGCCAACACATTTCAGTGCTAGATCGCCTGTTATTTAACAAACAAATGAAACGAATGCTGTTAACTGGAGATGTTTTATTTGCATTGGTACATCTGTGCCGCGAGATGTTTCAAAAGTGGTGGGGACAAAATCCGTTTGTTCGCCGGCTTCTCTGAAAACAAATTCACATGGCCTGCCTGAACGAGATGGGAGGGGGAGTTGACAACGAGTTTACGACAGTTTTCTCATGTATATATACTCCGAAACTGTAGGGGGAGCTCGAGAGAGAAACCTGCGAGAAAACAGCAAAGAAGTTTCCAGTCTTACTGAGCGCTGCTTTAAACTGTAAATCTTTGGGGCAAATAGAATATAGTGAGCAGTAATAAACATTAAAATGCAGACATTCTCAAGGGCTATGCATTTTTTGCATGTACATGTCTTAAAACCATTTCAATGGTGTTCTTAAACTGCAAGCTGCAGCTTGCTACATATTGGCAGAAAAAAAAAACTGAATGCCAGCAAGTTTCTTTGTTTTTTAAAAAAAATTAAAAAAAATAAAAGACATCTTTCCAGCATGTTTACAGTAAAAAATAATTTAATACAAAGAAAATCTGACATTTCTTGCAGGTAGCGGCCTGGTTGTTAATAGATGGCAAATGCGGATACTGATTTTCACTAAACCCTTAAAATAGACACTACACAACACTGAGGATATATGCTTTTTACCTGTAACAACAGTGAAGAGCCGGAGCTTAGTGAAGGCAAGCTTGCCCTTCCCGCCCTTCATATTAAAGTTGGACATAACTTCATTTGTCATCAACCTGTGGATACAAAAGAAAAATTATTTAAATTTGCAAATAGTTGAACTTTTAAATTCTTTGTCAAAAACAAATGCGTTAACTAAAACATGTAGCATATTATAAGCAGACCTCTTAGAAAAAATACATACTATGGTAGTCAATGGGGATTGAGATCGGTTTGATTAAAACATTCTTCCAAATATCTTCCTTTGTGTACAGCAGAACAAATTAACACAGAGGTTTGGAACAACTTGAGGGTGAGTAAACGATGATAGAATTTTTCTTTTTGGTTAACTATCCTTTTAAATTGATGTCTAACTCGCCACACATGGCTGTTAATGTGAGGAAATCTGGTGCAATGCAAACATAAATTTTGTTCATTTCATCTTTGAAAATTAAACTTTTAATAATTTTAATTATGTACGAAACTCATACCCAATTGTGACTTCTAAACCGGGCTATGAACTGAACACTGTGACTTGCAGATCCATAAAGAAGGCTGCCAGTTGGCCCAGTGGCAACAGTCAAGTCCCTATACAATATCTATTCTACTCTATTATATCGGTGCTACGAGTAACTGACATCTAATTGAAACTGAGATATAAAACTTACTTCTCCATGACCCTTTTTACATTATCTTTCAGGTGGACTCCTCCCACCTTGGACAAGGTATTAATCTGAAATTAGAGGAACAATATTTCAGTTTTACCAACAAACGAAAAAAAAAAGTTAACAGTGACACATTACACATGAGAGAAAAATATGTATAATTATGCTGGTTTGACTAGAGTTTACTTTACCAGCTTCTGTTTTTCCTCCAGGGAGTCGAGGGATCCATCAAGGAGGTTTAGAGCCTCAACGGTTGGAACTTGTTGAACTTGAGATGCTTCAAAGTTTTCTACATCCCGTTTCTTTAATGAGCGGATATCCTCACGCATTTCCACTAGCATTTGCATCACTTTTCTCTGAAATTCTAATGCAGTGCAAAAAAAAAAAATCCATTATTAATTATTTTTTCAGTTTGATAAAATACTCTTTCTGGCCTTTTACTTGTTTTTTATTGCACAACATACAGTAACGAGTGTAGTTTTTTTTTTTTTTTCCAATTAAAAAAAAAAAATTAATATACCTGGGGCCTGTACTACGCAGGATTTGGGATTAGCAAGATAGTCCTACAGGTGGTTCATTTCTTACAGGGGTATGTCACCACAGTAACTTATGCTGCTTGGCTTGAGCCAATCCCAGCTGACATGACAATCACACACATTAACAACTAAGGTCAATTTAAGAATCAACAATTAACCTAGCCTGCATGTCTTTGGACAGGGCTTTGGATAAAAGTGATCTATAAATGCAAGCCATTTACCACACACATTCTGTGATTTTTTGCCAACTGTCCTTCCTATTTTTGGCAGCTGCAACTGTGTAGCCTTTAGACTGGATTATGTGTTTAAATTCTTCATAATGTCTGTGATATTATAGTTTGCTCTTGATTAGTAAAATAAGCCGTTATTTTTATTTTTTTTCATATAATACTTACTTTTTTCTGGCATTGGGTATGGGCAGCGTTTTCCCTGTGTTGGAGGTTGTTGTCTGGAGCTGGTCCCTTGAGTACCTTGCTGAACAGGGGATCTTCTACGTTGTTGTTGATGTTCTTGTTGCGACAGGCTTTTTTGAATTTGTGGTCTGGTTGGCATTTCTGGTGTGGGCTCTTGAATTTGCTGGAGCACTACAAGAAGAGTAAGAGTAAAGGGGTTATTCTCAATTCTTATTTTTGCATCCTCATTTCCTTTCCTCGCATCTCAGCTCCACCCCCTGTAGGATGTAGAATAATTAAGCAAGAAAGCCCGTTGAAATATGTGAGATGTATGGTTTATATAAACTGCAAGGGTAAAGTATAAATTAAAATGATTTTGACCGACGTGAAGGGGGAGGAGAATTGATACGTGCGTCACGTTTAGTCAGTAAAACTCTCCGCATAGGATACACCCGTGTATCCTCGATCATAACTCCTCCAAGTGTGACCCATCAGCCCCTGTAGCAAGAACAAGTGGCAATGTTCTTCTACTAGGTAAGTGAATATAAACCTGCCAACAATTACTTAAAATACAACCCAAAGCTGAAAAAAAATCTTTTGAAGGTTGCACAAAACTACACATTACTTCAGGATTGATTGTTAACCTCTTGTGTTGTTTGCTAGTCCAAATTTACTTTAATTTATTTGGAGGAGCACACCCACTGGGAAGCTCTCATTAAAGAGAAGGAGCTCAGACTTAGTGGATCAATTACATTTGTATAGATGTATGAACCCAAACTATCACTTGAAGGTAAAATATTTATAAAAGTGAATTTAAGAGTAAATTGGGACCTGAAGAATCATTTTTAGTTTTAGCCATCTGCTTTCCCCGAATGAGCGGAATAACTGTAGACCCACAGCTTGATCGCCTGGAGGAGGTTGATGGTGGAATGACAGAGCCAGAGCTTGATTGCGTGGATGACGTAGATGATGATGATGGCGAGCTTGCACGTTCGGACCTTATTGGTGACTCTCGCTCTTGAACGTGAAGCTTCCTTGGAGCAGCAGGAAGTTCTAGCTCTGTTAATAAAAGTAAAGATAATACATGACCACCTAGACACACACAGCACAAGCATGCATTAACACACAATGTGAGTGTGTGTGTATATATGATAATTAGTGTTGTCAAAATATTTGGTATATTAAATATTTCCATCATTTTGAACATTTTTACATTGAACAAGACAGGTGTAACAGGTGTACAGTCTGGTACCGGATCAGATGGGGTTCCGTATCATGGGAAAATTTTCCCACGATCACGTGACCAGTCCAGAAGTGGTGGTGGTGGTGAGGGGTGTTGGTGGGTGGTAAGAGGAGGGGAGACCGTGGGAATTTCCCACGGTCACACGGTCAGACCGGAAGTGAGCGGGAGGGGTAAAAAAGGGGCGGGGCTTATTTTTATGGGGGGCAATAAATCACTCAAAGTGACACTTGCCGCCCTTCATTCTCTCTCTCATCTTCTTTTTGATAAGAGGAAACTTTCTCCAACCCTCAGTTGGTTTGCGACGTTCCTTCAAATGTCTAGTTGCATTTGCGATATTTGGCCAGAACAGCATCATGTTTTTGGTGTCTACCCAGCTGTCTGGCACCGTCCCTTCTTCTTGCCTTTTCCTTTCCTGCCACACTGCCCTAACCCAAGCCATCCTGAAACAAAGCATATTAAATTAAATTTTAACATTAACTTAAAAAAACAAATCAATACAAATAATATAGAGAAAATTCCAAATGAACTACATATGTTTCATCATACATTAACTACTTGGTGGTGGATGCTTTAAATGCATCAAAATCATATAGGCCTAAGTACTATTACTGAGAGAAAAAAAAATATTTCCATTACAATTTCTCATGAACAGGCTTATCTGTGGCACATCATTTTAATATTCAGGCACATACCATAAAATCAAAACAGTAACTTTACTTTTAAAATATAAAAGTTTAAAACTAGCCAGCAATCAAATTTTAAGCACAGTGGGAACACTGGCAAAAACATAATGCAAACAATAGGCTGTAACAATAGGTTAAAACATAGCCTATGGCAACAACATCACAATTTCACTAGTGTGTATGTACTAACAGTAAAGGTCATGTGGTCACTAAACACCTGTGATATAGGCTCCCGCTTTCCAGCAGCAAAGCAAATACACTAGTCATGTTATAAATCAAACCATTTAAATTTTATATGCGTACCTTCCCCCTGCCCTAAACCCAGTGGTTCTCAAAATTTTCTTGTCAAGGAGCCCTAAACAGACAGAAATTAGACCACGGACCCCCATTTGATAAGATTTTCCAGCATTGCTCACGTGGTAGGATTTTGGATGTTTTATTCCAGAAAGTGTGTGAAATCCATGGCAAAAATAGTCATTTGTTTGGTCATTATGTCACTTATTGATGGACTTAAAATAATGTGAAATGGATGAAAATAAAATATGAGCCCATGTGTTTTTGACTGTGGCCTTAAAATCCTTATGAAGTAAGATAAAAACAACAATGCTGAGTTTTGCGAAACAAAGCCATTAAGCTGTATAACACCCTAAGGGAGAGCTAATATTTAATATTTCACAATAAAGTCACAGACTAATTAATTACCATTTTTTAGTATTTTCGCTCCATGCTGTGCAATAAAGGCAGAAGCACATATCCAGTTTGATAGGGGAGACAAGCCACTTTACGGTCAATGTCTTTAACTTCAAGCAGCCTGCGATGTTTCCGGACTCTCTCCAAGTTTCTGACAAACACAATGTTAATAAGTTTGGAGTCACAAGGCACAGTAAAAAAGCTCTCCAGTCTTTTTTGTGATATGATGTCACACAACAATCTGCCATCATCACGTTTTTCTTTCACAAAGGCAAAGTTTTCATTGTGCAAGAGGAAACATCCATTTCTCTTCTTCACTGAAACAAAATGCCAGCTTTTGTTTGCCATCTTTCTGTGGCTTCCTGCCCTCTCATGTTCCAAAAGTCTCTTTGCCACTTGACTGATGGGATTCTTGGCATTTCTCACAAATCTCTTCAGAATTTGCAGATAGTTCTCAAACGGAAATGCAGATATGTCATTGAGAGAACACTGGAAATGTCTTGAGTCATCTGACAGATGTTTCAAACTATGAACATTATACACAACAAACTGTGCGGTGTATATATGCTTGCATTTGTCAACAAAATAGCTTAAAAGCTGTCTAGCGTAGTCCATGTAAGCATCACGCTTTCTCTCAGATGAGTCCAAAAGGATTGATACAGCTACTGTTAGGCAAAGAAAGTGTTCATATACATTCCTGTGCAGCACCTTTTTCAAAACAACAGGTCCAGTGTATAGAAGGAATTGCCGAAACTCTGTGGCTTTCCACCGATCTAATTCTGCTAGAGGTCTTGGTTGGCGAGCAAATTCACTAGGCAGTTTCCCAGATAAAGACACAAGAAGAGTTGAAATCTCCCCTACTTTTCTTTGCGACAGTCTACATTCAGGTGGTCCTTTTTTTAAAAAGCACAGCAGTCTTTTAACAACTCCAAGACATACTAGATGCATATAGTCCAAAGGAAAACCTGTGATGCATCTTATTCCTACATTAGATAATGGGGAAACTCCAACCTGATGATCGACATAAAGTCCATTAGAGAAATCTTGGTCAGTTCTTAATGGGTACTCTCCCAGTAACACAACTCTTTTATTCTTATACTCTCCCCTAATTGTGCATCTTTCACAACAGTGATATCCAGTGTGTCCTTTTATACATTTTAAGAATGCTCGAGCTGGAGCGTCACAAACAAACGCTTTAATGCGCACATGGATTCTTTTGCCATTCACAGTTAATTGACTTCTCAGTAGTTCTGTATATTCAGCTAAGAAATCTTCAAGAAAATCCTGAACAGAGTTGGGTTTAGATTTACCATAAAAAAGTGCAACTATAAACGGTTCAAAGTCACTGAATCGACAGATAATTGGCCAAAACTGGGCATTTGAAGATTTGAAAAGAGGAACCCCATCAATGTTAACTAATAGGTCCACAGAATTCGAGCTTTCCAAAAATGTGCTGTTCCCATCAAGAATTTTCACAATAGAGCATTCAATCCCAAAGTACACATACTGTCCACCACACTTGTCCTCTGTGTGGATTTGGCGAGGTGTTTTCAATAATGTCCTTGAATCCTTTGGTAATTCTAAGCCTTCCTCCTTCAAGATACCAAGCAATTCATCAATGTGGCTTCTTCCACATTTACTTCTGGTAGCCCAGGAAGCAAGCTTTTCATGCAAGGTTACCTCATCTTTTTTTGGAGATTCTATGACTTCTTCTGAATCACTTGACACATTCTCTCTGTAGCCAAAATCTGAATCTGCATCACTTTCTTCTGCTTCATTTAAACTATGCTGTTCTACTAGATCTTCGCCTCCCTCTTCTACTAGATCTTCGCCTCCCTCTTCTACTAGATCTTCACCTCCCTCTTCTACTAGATCTTCACCTCCCTCTTCTACAAGATCTTCACCTCCATCTTCTACATTACACTGGTTAGGATTTAAATTTTCAGGGGAATCATCTTCACTGCTGCTACATTTCAGTGCGACTGCTGCAGCTTTTGCCCGGATTTTTCTCCAGTGACTCAGATATGACATACCATGTTCTAAAAAAAAATGACAAACCCAGAAGTTAGGTCTATATCAAGGAAATAAAAATAAAATACAATGTTTTACCACAATAAAAATCAGAGGGGTTAGACATGCATACTAACAAGCCTCATCACTACAATGTTGCAAACAATTATCTAATAGAACTTTATCACTTAAGCCAGTGTTTCCCCTATCATATACAGTGCCCACCATACAGCTGGACATTTTGTAAAGCGTAGTGCTGGGCGGTATACCGTTTCATACCGAAAACCTGTGTATATCATTGTTATGATGTTAATTTTTAATATACCGCCATATCGATGTATTTGATTACACAACGTTCGGAACAAACATTATGCTGAGCCGCCGACACTGTTTCAGATGGGCCCTTTACAATGTTGCACTTCTAAGCAGCAACGGTGAGAAGAGGGTAAACCAAACAGCAGTGCTCTGGTGTTACGTTACAGGGAAGGTGAATGCTGCAGAACTATGCCGTTACTTTCCTGTCAAATGTCGAGAGCGCACTACTGTAACGCGAAAGTAAATTAATATAATGCGTGCGTGCGAATCTCTGCCCGGGCGTGGAATATAGCGCACACGCTCTCAGATACACGCTGCTTTTGTGAGAATAGGCTCGCTCAAGCCCCTTTTCCACCAAAACATTTTGAGAGCCGGTTCGGAGCCGGTGCCTGCGCGCGAACCAGTTCTTTGTGTTTCGACAGCCAAAGAACCGGTTCACGGCCGGGAAAACTGGTTCCAAAGCGGTACCAACTTTTTGCTGGACTAGAACCGTTCTTTTAGCACGTCATGCTTACGTCGGGGGCTGGGGCGAGTTTAGATGTGTTCTAAACATATTTTCTGACCATCGCAAAGCCAGGAGAACCTGCAGAAACACGCAAGCGTTTTTAAAGTTTTCTTGGTGATAAAGGTTTCTTAGAGATAATCCCAAAGCAATGTATTTGTAAGCGTTTCTAGCGACGTGCACAGTGACGTAACGACGTCGTTCCCTGGGCGCTCTAGTCAGTGGAAAAACAAACAGGTTCTGAACGGGTTCGCAAGTTGAACCAACTCCGAACCAACTTTGAACCAGCACCAGTTCCGAACCAGTTCTTTTTTAGGTGGAAAAGGGGTATCAGAGAATCCTGCATTTAAAATGTGTTCAATGCAATTGCGAATCTCTCCTCTTCCCCAGCTAACAATTTTAGGTTATAAGAACATTTTCATAACATTACCATTCAGTTATAAAAACTTTATTTCTAAATATTCAAGGAACATTCAAAACGTTTTTGAACATTGTATTTTTTTACAATGTACAATGTACAGTTTTTTTAGACATTGTATTAACGTTCTTGCTTGGTTATAAGAATGTTAAGAAATAACAATTTTAGATTATACTGGACGCTAATCTATTCTACAACTAATGACAATAAAATAGACCATCCTAAGTCAATTTATTGCAGTAATTCCTCTCTCAACCAGTAGAAAATGCTTTGAACACCTCATTTTGTTTAATTTAATTTATTTAATTTATATAATTTAATTTTAAATTTAAATTAAAAAATCATTTAATTTAAAAAAATTTAATTTAAATCATTTAATTTAAAAAAAAAAAAAAAAAAAAAAAGTGATATAAATTTTTGGTCAAACCACCCAGCACTAAGCGTACACTATACTTTCCATAAAATCTTCACAGTATGGAAAGTTATAGCTGATTAATGGTTAAAAAGATTTTCAGCAATATCCAAAGGCAATCACACAGACGGTCAGACGTTGGATTTTGGTTGAAAATAAAAGTTGGGTTGACGTCTAAATCCAATATTTTTTGACGTCAAGCTCCAATGTTGGGCAGTCTTTGAATTTTGGTTGGAATAAACCAAACAAAAAGGTGGCCATACAGTACACTTATTACCAGCTTAACTTAAAACTAACCAGATTTTACTTTATACTTCATCATCATCATCAATAAACAGCCAACATCACCTGATCTCATTTTCTCTAGGCTTTTTTGCCACAATAAATGTATTTTATTAACACGCAATTATAACACCCAGAGAAAATTGTATACTAAAAAGTCAAGGTTAAAGAATTCAGCTAAAGCAAACCACCATCATGGTGACTCTAAAATACATGTTACAACTATTGATTTAATTAAAATGGAAATAAAATAAAGTAAATCTGGTTAGTATAAGTGAAGCTGGTAATGTTTGAGTTGTTTACGCTGCTGAGATCTTCACAGATTTAATGAGCAGCCATGCAAAAAATTTTTTTTGCAGTGTTTATTACAACACAAAAATTAAACACCCGTCTGACGCCAAAAAAAAAAAAAAACGTTGGGTTTTAGACGTCAACCTGACTTTCGTTTTCAACGTCCAACGTCTTATTGACGGCATGTTGAGGTAGGCCTACTGTGCCTGCTGGAGACTCCTTACAAAAAGTTACAGCGAATCAGCTTTCAAAAAGTACCACGGATGACCAAGTAATCAACTCCATGTCTGGCCAGTAACATCATTAGAGTATCGCGAAACAATACTAAAACGTTCGATTAAACGATCCACATGTTATTTTTTCATTTACTTTGGTGAAGTCGAAGAACTCACCTCTGAATGCACACGCGGGGGACACTTTCTGTCAGAGGAAATTCAAACGTAAGACAGCTGTGGCTGTCTGCTTCAGAGTCGAAAAATCGTCGGCGATTTTATTCCTGCCACTATTTTTACTATTCCACGGATTTTAATCTCTGTAAACTAACTATTACATATAGCCTATATTACAATGCAGTCAAGCGTAATATAAGCTAGGTGCGAAAAGGCCCAGTTCACTTCATCAATTCTGACAACTTGAACTTGACAATACTCTGTGCCACTGAAAAAAATAAAACTTATAAAGCTTACTAACTAACTTAACGTTCTTATGGCCAACATTGACATATATATTATTTTCCGTACCTCTGCTCGCGATCACCGTCCACCACCAAGCAACTGTAACCGTCGACGTACAGATGAAAAGTGTCCGACAGGAAACTTCCACTCCTGTATCTTTCCGCTGTGCTGTAAGACCGTTGGAGTCGCTTTACAGTGATTGGCTAGCAATGTGTTTCAAATTTGAAGATATACCTGCAAATGTATTTAAAACACGCGACCAAGTCAAGTTATTTAAAAAATCTACAACTTTATGAAAATCTATATCATTTATGCAAGAAGATTTTCTGTTATGTTATTTAATTAGTGGTGCTTGCAAAGCAATATTGTTATTGTCCATACTTATTTATTTATTTTTTTTCTTCCGCACAAATTTCGGCGCGCTACTCCTCCCGCAGTTTTTGTCACAGACCCATGAATGAGGTGTCAAAATGTGCGGCTTGTTCGGGAATGGTGTGCTATGACTTTTCTAAGAGATCGGGGGTACGGTCGTCGCCCCAGGGGCGAAAAACGGCCAAAAAAATCCCATAACATTGCGAAAAACTTTGACGAGTCAGCTCAGAGCTCGGATTTCACAGAAACTTGTAATGTACCACATTTGAAGAGGCTGGCAGGCTCTTTAAGAACATACCTCACAATGGGGTAAAAGTTGCACCCCTGGGGGGCAGGAGCTGCCCAAAGTTTCCCCATTGACTTACTATGGTGAAGGACGTCCCATCAAATGCATGTGTTTTTCCTACTATGGTAAATTGCATAGGGATTTTGTATTGAACATAGCTCTGGATCAGTGTCATAGAGACAAGGGGGTGGGCTCATTTTACTCAGAAGACCAATCAGTCTCTCAGGATCAGTGGGAAGCTATCAAGCCACGCCCTAGCGACCATTTAGAGCTCCTTAGCAACAACTCCCATAGACTTCAATTGAAAGAGATTGCAGGGATATCTCCGGATAGAAGTGTCAGAAACATGAGGGTGGTTTCGTTTGATTCAGGGCAGCAAACAGCTAATCATGAATCACATCAACACTTCCTAGCCACGCCTTAGCAACCATTGTCGTGCTCCTTAGCAACCAAAATCCATAGAGGGATATCTTCCATTCAGAGGCATGGGAGTTTGTTAATATCATTCATACTGACAAGCAGCCTTTGGAGTTTCATGATTGGCAGCTGCCAAGCCACTCCCTAAAAACCAGAGTACCCTAGCAACCATTTTGCAAAACCTACATCTCTGCATCAAAACATTGTATAGAGATGGGGGTTGGTTTATACATTCACATTGACTTTGGAGCTTCATGATTGGCAGCTGCCAAGCCACTCCCTAGCAACCAAACAGAATACCCTAGCAACCGTTTTGCAAGACCTATATCTCTGCATCAAAACATCGTATAGAGATGGGGGTTGAATCTTTTTACTCATGCTAGCAAACAGGACTTGCTACATGCTACACATGCTAGCAGTGAATAGCTACATGCTAATATTGATTAGCTAAGTGCCAATTCATGCCAAGAAAATGCTACAATCTCCATAGTAACCATCTGTGACAAGTACCAACAACCTAGTAATACCATAGCAACCACCCAGAATAGCCTAGCAACCACCCTGAACACCCTAACAACCGCCTATAAACTCCATAGCAACCACAAAAATACCCTAGCAACCACCCAGAATACCAGAGCAACCACCTATCAAAACCATAGCGACCACCCAGAATCCCATAGCAACCGCCTAGCAACACCTTAGCAACCGCCAAGCAACCATCCAGAACACCCTAGCAACCACCTAGCAACACCCTTGCAACCACCCAGAACACCCTAGCAACCACCTAGCAACACCCTAGCAACCACCCAGAACACCCTAGCAACTGCCTAGCAACACCTTAGCAACTGCCTAGCAACCATCCAGAACACCCTAGCAACCACCCAGAACACCCTAGCAACCACCTTAGCAACCGCCAAGCAACCATCCAGAACACCCTAGCAACAACCTAGCAACACCCTAGCAACCACCTGGCAACACCCTAGCAACCACTCAGAACACCCTAGCAACCTGCCATAATAACCTAGCAACACCATAGCAACCACCCAGAACAC